TTTGATAATTTCTAGTCAAGTTAAACATATGCCTGCCCGATGACCCAGCAATTCTACTCCCAGGTATCTACCCAAGAGAAATGAGAGGATGTGTCCACAAAAAGACTTGAATGAGAAGTTCATATAGTTTTAGTCATAACACCCAAAGCTGGAAGCAATTCAAGTGTTCAAATATGGAAAGAACAAACTAATGACACGTGTATAACAACGTGACCGAATCTCCAAATGAATGATGCCAAGCAAAAGGAGCCAGACACACACGAGTATATAGTGCATGTTATATGAAGTTCAAGAGCAGACAAATCTAACCTCTGGTGATAGTAGTCAGAGGAGTGGTGGAGCAGTGGGTATTCACTGGCAAGGAGCAAAGGGAACTTTTTGAAGTGGTGGAAAAGTTCTATATTTTAAACTAGGTGGTTGCACCAGTGTAGACATAGGGAAAAATGCATCAAGCTTTACATTGAAAGATTTCTGCATTTTATTATATATGAATTAATCATAAAAAAAAGGATTGTATCAAGTGGGGGCAAGAGTCACCTAAGTGAGATTTTTGAGGAACCATGAAACGCTATTTTAACCCCATTGTTGGGGTTCAGCATAAACTTCAGATCTGCTCAGCATGACAAGCAGTCGGAACTCGCTGACTTTGCAGTTTATTGACCCAAATACCTCTGGGTGAGAAACCATTCCTTCCACCCAAACCTGAAGAAGAAAACAGTCTCTGAGGATGACTACACACATGGAAAGTCATAAAACACATTAACCTGGGACGACTGGGTTAATCTTATCTCTCATTCTCTTCTCACACCATATTTTATGTGAGAAAGATGACTTTTAGGCCGGGTGCGGTGGCTCACGTCTGTAATCCTAGCTCTCTGGGAGGCCGAGGTGGGTGGATTGTTTGAGCTCAGGAGTTCGAAACCAGCCTGAGCAAGAGCGAGACCCCGTCTCTACTAAAAATAGAAAGAAATTAATCGGACAACTAAAAATACATAGAAAAAACTAGCCAGGCATGGTGGCGCATGTCTGTAGTCCCAGCTACTCGGGAGGCTGAGGCAGGAGGATCGCTTGAGCCCAGGAGTTTGAGGTTGCTGTGAGCTAGGATGACTCCCTGGCACTCTAGCCCGGGCAACACAGTGACACTCTGTCTCAAAAAAAAAAAAAAAAGAAAGATGACTTTTATTTCCTCTTTCAAAAAGAAAAAAAACAACCGGGATATACTCATGTCCATCTTTATTAACTAATGTCAAATTATTTTCCAAAGGGTTCTACCACTTTCTGTTCCCACCACTGCTGTCTTAAGTGTTTTTACTATTCCACATTCTCTCCAAAGTCGATACTGTTAGTTTTTTTAAAAAAAATATTTTCTCCAAATCAAAACTACAATAAGATATCATCTCACCCAAGTTGAAATGGCTTTTATTCAAAAGACAGGCAATAATGAATTCTGGCGAGGATGTGGAGAAAGGAGAACCCTCAAACACTGTTGGTGGGAACGTGAATTAGTGCAATTGCTATGGAGAACAGTATGGAGGTTCCTCAAAAAACTAAAAGTAGATCTACCATATGACCCAGCAACCCCACTGCTAGGTATATATCCAAAAGAAAGGAAATCAGTGTATCGAAAAGATGTCTGCAGTCCCATGTTTATTGCAACACTATTCACAATAGCCACGATTTGGAATCAACCTAAGTGTCCATCAGTGGATGAATAGATAAAGAAAATGTACGTATACACAGTGGAATATTATTCAGCCATGAAAAAGAATGAAATCTTGTCATTTGCCACATCATAGATGGAACTTAAGAACGTTACGTTAAGTAAAATAAGGCAACCAGAGAAAGACAAATTTCACATGTTCTTATATGCGGGAGCTAAATATTAAAACAGTTGATCTCATGGAGACAGAGTACAATGATGGTTACCAGAGGCTGGGAACGACGGTGGGGACGGGGAGGATGAAGTAGGGATGGTTAATGGCACAAAAATACAGTTAGATAGTTAGATAGAGTGAATAATATTTGATAGCACAGCAAGGTGACTGTGGTCAACAATAAGTTATGGTGTACTAGGCTGGGCGCCGTGGCTCACGCCTGTAATCCCAACACTTTGGGAAGCCAAGGTGGGAGAATCGCTTGAGCCCAGGAATTCAAGACCAGCCTGGGCAACATAACGAGACCGTGTCTCTTAGCCAGGCATGGTGGTGTGCGCCTATAGTCCCAGCTATGTAGGAGGTTGAGGCAGGAGGATTACCTGAGCCCGGGAGTTAGAGACTGCAGTGAGCTATCATCATGCCATTACACTCCAGCCTGGGCAACAGAGCGAAACCTGGTCTCTTAAGGAAGAAAAAATTGCTCCAAGGTCCATTTTAAAATATAAATCAGGTTGCAACACATCCCTCCTCAAAACCTTCCCATCAGATTCATAATAAATCTGAACTCCTCTGGCCTTCCAAGCCTCCCGGCTTCCCTCTGACATCCTCCCTGCCTTGCTGGCCTTGCTGTGCTTTTAACAGGCCAGGCTGCTTTCCTCCTGAAGCCCTTTGCACTCCGGCTCTCTCTCCCGGCTCTCTGTAATTGCCTGTGTCTTTGTATTTGCCGCTAGACTATAAGCTCTCCGAGGACAGGGTTGGGTGCACCCTGTCCTGTTCCACCCTGCTTCCCTGGCCCAGCGCTGGCCCCTCAGTGTCTGCCGAGTGTGCTCACAAGCTCCTCCACCAGCCAGGTGGCCCAGGAATACTGGCCCGCATCCCTCTGCTGGCACCAGGAGTGGGGGCTGATGCCAAAGTGCCCTCCCCTGAGCTTTTTATATCCGGGTATACATGGGCTTATCCTGAATGAAGGGGGCGATCCCAGTTAGGCTTTGGGCAGCTGAGGGGTACGGAGACTTAACAGGTGGGAAGGAGACGTGCGAGGGTCAGTGCTGGGTGACTTCTGGGAGTTTCAGTGCATGTCTAGGGGCGTCCGATGTTTTTTAGCCTGTCCTTGTGCCTCCATTTGCTCTCAACACAAGTAGAGCAGCTTAAGCTCCCAGGAACAGCCTGGACATGGGGTTCCCAAAACAGAGGACTTTGCCAGCTGCTCCACTTCTGTGCTCTTCCCAAATGTGTTGTTGAAACCAGGGATGTTCCTCTCCTCAGCAGGCAGAGCAGTTACCTCCGGTGCCCCGTGTTGATTTAGAATCCCAGGGAGTTAGTGACTTCCTTGATTGAGCTGTTTCCTGTGCCAGCTTCTGCCCAGGCCCCGCCTGTAGTGGCCACAGTGGGGCAGCCCTGCCAGAAGCCAGGTGTCCCCAGCTGAGGCCCCTCACTCCCACCACTGGCCCAGCCTGCAAGGACTCTGCCTCCCAGGGCCACCTGGCTCAGGACTGGCTCTCCCCAGTTCTCTGGAAGTTGGGAGCAGGACCCTGAAATGCTGAGTCCTTTTCCTTGGGCACTGGGCATGGCAGCGGGCAAAGGGACAGCCAGCAGAGACCATGACCTGGCTTCCTAATTACAGACCATTCAGCCAAGGCTGTGCCCAGAGCGGGACCTGCTAAGTGGGTACAGTGGGACATTGGGAGAAGCACATTTGAGCCAGTGCTGTTGGGGTCTCTGTGGATGAGAGCCCATGGTGGGCCTCACTCCTGACCTCAGAAGCCAGCTCTGTGTGTCTCCTCCCCTCTCACCCTCAAGCCCTGGGTGGTTCAAAGAGCTCATGGGCTTCCTTCTGTGCCCCGGCTGTCCCCAGCTCACCTGCACTCACAAGGTTGTGGCCTTTGGTAAGTTCCTTCACTTTTTCATTGTTGATGCTGGGTGAACATTGTCTTGCCACCCAGGATAACGTCCTCCTTACTGCCATGTGCTAGTTCCGTTCCCTGCTGGCTTTGTGGTTTGGCTTGGCCTTAGAAATTTAAGCCGCCACAAGTGGAGAGGGCAGCTGGGTTTCTTGAACACAGAGCCTGAGGGACCTTCTCTGCAGCTGCTGGCAGCAGCCAGAGGACCCTGGAAGGGCTAGAGCTTTAGCAAGGAGAGGGAGCCGGGCTGGGCTGTCGGGCCAGGGGCCAGGTGAGAACCCGGGCTTGCCAGATTTGCAGAGGGGACCAGGGGGAGAGGGGAGGTGGCCCTGTTCACAGGACTCTCCTGGGTGGGGCAGTGCTCAGGGCTCCCCTCTCAGCGTGCTTTCCAGCTCTTGCTGAGGCTCCCCTGTGCTGCTGTGGACTCAGGCTCCTTTCCTCAGCGCTGATACCCAAACTGCCCCGCAGGCGGCCTCTTCTCCTTGTTCCTGCCTGCTCAGGGCAGCACGGGGCCTCAGGCTGCAAGTGCTCCCAGGGACCCCGCAGTTCTTTTCGTCCCTAGTATACGGATAGATGGAGGCTGCTGCCCAGAGGGCTAGTTGGTGGTGTGGTATTGAGCCCAGCAACCCCATCTCCTGACACAGCCCCATCCTCCCCCAGCACCAGAGCTGGGAGGATTGTTCATGGTTCACCAGGCTTACCCAGCAATGCCGCCTCTGTAATCCACAGCCGAGAGGACAGGGACAGTCACAGGGACCAGGCCCAGCCCATCCTTCTTTCTGGGAGGGGCCTCCCACGGGGCCTCCAGAGCACTGTGTCAGGGAGCCAGTGTTCACAGTCCCCTGGGATCTTCTCTGGGCCATTTTCTCTTACATCTCACCTGAAATTAACTGCACATAGCTGGACTCGGAACTTTGTAAACCTGGTACTTCAGGGACTTGCGTGATTCTAGGAAAATTACTTTACCCCATTCCTTGTTTGCCGTCTGGCCTAAGAAGCGAGGATGCAGGGCTAATCTAGTCCGCCAAAGCCCTGCAGTCAGACAGAGCGATGCTATCTGTGCGGAGTTAGAGGGGAGAGCCCTTGCTTTTGTCCACGCTCTGATTAAGTGGGCGTCTCCTCTACTGCTAGCTTTGTCCCTCTGGGACTTGGGGGTGGGGCTGGAGCAGAGCCTGGGTGCCTGTGTGACCTATCTGCACATTATTTGTCCTGTCTGCAATTTCAGGGTCGTGCTGTGGCAGCCTGGCGCCTGGCAAGTGAGGGGAACCTGCCAGGGGATTACCGTGAGCTAACGGCAAGACAGGCTGGCCTCAGGGGAGCGGGGATGGGCAGAGCAGCCGCCCAGCCTCGGCTAGCAACACCAGGGAGGAGGCCTGCGCCCTGGTGGGGAGCTTGACGCACATTCGGCTGATGAGACGGTGTTGGACGCGGCACCCGCCTGAGCAGCAGCTGTTCCCAGCACCAGAGGACCCCACCGCAGGAGCAGAAGCTTCGCAACCCCTATGCGACTACAGCTGGGGCTGTGGCCACCGGGAGAGGGGACCAGCACCTCGGATGGGAAGCAGTAGGGCAGAACCTAACATAAGGAGGATCTTGGTTTCTATCACAGTTTTCTGACAGCCCCGGCACTTCCTGTTTTTTTTCTTCTCAGGGTTGGGTTCTGGTTGCCCTCCTCTGGCAGAGGGTTTGGGCCATCCAAGCTGGGGATGACTCTTGTGGGGAACCCAGGCCCCCTGAAGCCCACGCGCTCTCTGCTGTAATCGGAGGACGAGGGCTTCCCCGCTGCAGGGGACGAGGGGCCGCCTCAGTGTCTGCCCATGAACCACAAGGACCCCAACTGCTCCAGACTGGATTGTTTCAAGCCACCAAAGAGGGGGCCCCCCAGAGCCGGCAGCCAGAAATCCCAAGGGACTAGAGGGCTGGGATGGACTGACCTCCCCCTCACCAGGGCAGTAGGACAGGCAGAGCCTCTGTGGCCCAGCTAGTGACGGAGAGACCCGATGAAGCCCTAAGCAGGGGCCTGAGTGGCTCAGGGACAGGGCAGCCACTCCTGCTGACGTGCTTTCTCCTTACCGTGAAGGAGGGTGTGGGCGAGGGACCCCTGCCGCGGCACGTGCCCCTATGCCCTTTGCACGTGGTGCCAGAATAGGCAGACTGTGCCGTCGCTGGCCCCTCAGCGGGCTGGGAAAGGAGTGGCCGCGGTGACGGCTGCCTCCCCGCCGGCACCATGAAGTGCTCCCTGCGGGTGTGGTTCCTCTCCGTGGCCTTCCTGCTGGTGTTCATCATGTCCCTGCTCTTCACCTACTCGCACCACAGCATGGCCACCCTGCCCTACCTGGACTCGGGGACCCTGGGGGGCACCCACCGGGTGAAGCTGGTGCCCGGCTATGCCGGCCTGCAGCGCCTCAGCAAGGAGGGGCTCGCGGGCAAGAGCTGTGCCTGCCGCCGCTGCATGGGCGACACGGGCACCTCCGACTGGTTTGACAGCCACTTCGACAGCAACATTTCCCCCGTCTGGACCCGAGAGAACATGGATCTTCCCCCGGATGTCCAGAGGTGGTGGATGGTGAGCGCTGTGGCCCCTCCTGCCTCCCCTTTGCCACCCCCTCTCCAGGGATCTGTCCCTCTGATTGGGAGTCACTCTTAGAGCCCGCTCTTGGATTTGGGCTGCCTTATGGCCCCCAGAGCCATATGCTAGAATCACAGATGACTGGAGAGCAGAGCAAGCTTTGACCTGGAAGGAGAGAGAACTATTATTTTCTAGTGCCCTAGGAGCCAGGCATAAACCAGAAGTGCCTACTGCACCGGGCAGGTGGCCTGGCGAGAGGACAGGTCCTCAGGGAGAAGACGGTGGGAAGGGAGGAGCACTGCCTGGGGAGGCCTGCCTTTGTGAAGGAGGCAGCCCCGGGCTCCACCGGTTGTTGCTGTGCAAGGATGCAGCCCACACTGCTGCATGTGCTGACCTTTTAAGAGGACCCAGAAATCCAGATTTTTAAACTAAATATCCTAATTTGTAAATGTCGGCTCAAAATAATTGCAAACACCACAAGAGCCACTTGCTTGGTTCTTTACAATTGCTGGAAAAGACTTCTTTCCGTCTGGGAAGAGAAAGCATCGTATCCTGCTCAAGGGAGCCGAAGGCTGGGGGTTTCTGTGTGTAGGTCCTCCCGTCCTTCCAGTGGGCCACCTTTCTGCTGCTTCTAATTCCCTCCACCTCATCCGGCCTTTGCAGCATCGCTCCCCAGCCTCTGCAGGCCATCTGCTTGCCATATGGGTGGGGTCCAGGGTGGGGCCCGCCACCGGCTCCCTGCATTCCCTGCTCAGCTCTCAGGGAGCATGACTTGCCTTTTTCTCAGTTCAGGGACAGTGTGAGGATGAGCTCCTGTGATCAGGCTTATCTGAACCACTCCATAGAACCTGTCTTCAGCCCAGAGTGCCCAAGACTGGGGTCTGCAGAGGGGGGGTCACCAGGAGCCCCATGGGGTACCCCTGAAAAGCTGATTGGGAAGGAGCCCCTGAGGGAAGCCCTCAAAGTGTCCTGCCTGTTGTTCAGAGTCATGGCCTTCATTTATGGGGGAAGTCAAGGTTCAGAGAGTACCAAGGGTTTGCCCAAGGTCATAGTTTCAGTGGTGGCCATATAGGGCCAGGAACGGACTCTGGGCAGAGGTGGATGCCCCATGAACAGGCCAGGCCTCCTGCCCACAGGGTGGAACTCAGCGGCCAATATGTTTCTCCCCTGCGCCCCACAGCCACCCCCTTTTGCCATGAACTTGGGAATTCTTGTCTCAGAGCCACGTTCCCTGTCCAGACAGATCCCCTGAGCAGCTCCTGCTCAGCCACAAACCCATGGAGTTATGGCTCCATCCACAGAGTATGTTAAAACCCTCATTTTGACATTACCAATTGGTGGCCCTTGGGCCAAGTCCAGCTCACTCAATGTTTTAAAAATACTGCATTAGTTACCAACATTTAGAAATCAGGATATTTCACATGAAGTCCATATTTTTAGCTTCTCTTGAAAAATTGGAAAATTTGGCCCTTCTGGGCTCACGCTCCCACACGGCAATGCTCGGCTGAAGTTGCCCCTGTTTGACGGGGCACAGGATCTCCTGTTTGCCGAGGGCCCCACCAGCCCTTCGCTCCTGGTGTTACCTGCCTGGCCTGTAGGCATTTGATTGCCACCCCTGTTCTTGCAGGGAAGGGGGAACCAGTTCTGTTCCAGCCATTCTGGCTCTGAAAGAATTTACATGCTTCCCTGCCCTTCCCCAGGGCTCCGGGAGCAGCTCCTGGTATCCCATGAATATTGCTCTGGAAGCAGCTCTGGCAGCCGCCAGCCACCAGGCTGAGTCCCAGGGTCAGCGCCTGTAGGCCGATTGGGAAGGAGCCCCCAAGCGAAGCTGCCCTGCTCTGCCCGTGGGTCCCTGGAGAATGTGCTGCCTGGCACCTTGACCCGAGCGCCCTCCAGTGCCTCAGAGCAGCTCTGTGACTAGCAGGGCCCCAGCTGCCTGATAGTGAGACTCACATATAACCAGGGACTCTGCTGTTGAGAGAGAGGTGGATCCTGCTGCTCAGAGAGAGTCCCCAGTCCCTGCCAGAGCTCTGGGTAAAGAGGTCTGTGTGCACGGACACTAGGGACCAAGGACAGAGTAAGGGAGGCCGGAGCCCCTCCCTGCTCACACGCCTCTGTGCTCCCTCCACAGATGTTGCAGCCCCAGTTCAAATCACACAACACCAACGAGGTGCTGGAGAAGCTGTTCCAGATCGTACCGGGGGAGAACCCCTACCGCGTCCGGGACCCCCACCAGTGCCGGCGCTGTGCCGTGGTGGGGAACTCGGGCAACCTGCGGGGCTCTGGCTACGGGCAGGACGTGGACGGACACAACTTCATCATGAGGTGAGCCCCTGTGGAGCCTGCGGGTGGGCCCCAGACAAGCCTCCAGGAGGGGTTCTGGCCTCCTTGGCCTTGTCTGGCAGGGTATGGGTTGCCAGCTGCGGGGTTGCTGTGGGACCCTGACACCTAGATCCTTCCGGGACAGGCTCAGCTCTCCTTTGTCCGTTGGCAGTGGATGGGGAGGCAGAATTCCAAAGCTGAACTTTGCTTGAGGCCAACACCCAGTTTCCAAGGCTCCTAATTCTCTGAAAAGAGCTGAAACCAGACTCTTGGCTGATGTTTGGTGAAAAATCCCACTAGAGGCCCTTCCTACCCCCCTGGTCTCCCCAACAGTTGGGCAGGAGCAAGGGCCCCAAACCAAACTAGCATCTTGTTTCATAGCAACAGGTGATTCTTTCTGGCAGAGTCACAGAGGACAGAGGTCCTGGGCGCAAAAGGAGCCGTTTACTGCTTGCTCTGGGCCCATTTATCCCAGAGACATCTGTGCCCAGCTTGAGGCAATGAGGAGGGTTGGAAGGGCGTTTGGTCCAGACAGGGACGCAGAGCAACCAAGGCTGGGCGTGAACAGGGAGTCACGGGCTGCTCTCTGCTCCTGAGCCTGTGTGTTTCAACTTCCTTTCTTGGCTGGGGACAGGAAATGCCATGGTGGGGTCCTTCCACCCCCCTCCTTGGTGGAGAAAGAGCCTGAAGACTAGAGATGCTGGAAATGCCCAGTTTTCATTGCATGTCTCAGGATGAGCATTGCAGAAAGACCAGGTTTCCCAGGAGGCGGAAGGAAGGGCTTTGTCTTAGAAACTGTTGCTGTCTCCATAGCAACACTGAGGCAGCAGTATGTCTCTGAGGCTTTGAACAGTCCTTGCAAGACCTTCCTCATGTTGGGAAATGGTGGCCAATGGGGCAGAGAGGAGAATGAACCCCATCCAGGACCCCAGAGCCACCTGAGAATATCCCTGTCTGCAACTGCTAGCTCCCCAAATGGGAGGGAGCTGGAGAGGGGCCTCTCTCCACCCAGAGACAGTGGCCGAGGTTGGGGGATGAGGCATCCATCACTCCAGTAGGGCCCTGGGGCACTTGGGAAGCCCAGGAAAATGCTCTCAGGTGCCTGAAGCGCCTGCCTTCCTGGCCACCTGCACCAAGCGATAGCTTCACTAGGCACCTCAGTGATGGTTGGGAAGCTCCAGGGTAGAGCCCCTGTTGACCCAAAAGGTTTGGCTGCTTGTGACACTTTGGTGATACCTGGGCAGGCTGGATGGAAGAAAGAAATTTGCAGATGCTCCCTTACAGGGGTCAGGCTAGGAGATGAGGTGTTTTGGAGTGGGCCCCAGAATCGCTTTCTGGAAGGGGTGACCCAGGTGGTGATTGGCGGTCTCCTGGTCTAGGGAGCCAGATGGCAGTGGAGGGGCTCTGCTCGCAGGCATGTCTTGGTTTGGAACCAGTGGGGAGGCTTCCCGTCCTGGAAACAAGACCAGTGAAGACCCCTTGGGGGAGCTGAGCTGAGTTACAGTGACACGATGTGCTGACCCACCAGTTCCTCCTCCCCCCAGCTGCCGCCTCTTCATCCTGTATGTCCTCTGAGCCCTGCCGACTACCCAAATGGAGTTGAGCTGTTCCTGCCTCAGCTGGCCAGCGGATATATCCACAGCTTCTAGAACAGTGCCTGGGAGATAGTAGGCACCCCATAAATAGATGAATGAAAGAAAGGAACTAGGCAGCCAGACACCAACCCCTAAACAAGAGAGCACGTCCCCTCTGCCTGTGCCCCTGCCCCGAAGAGCTTCTTTGGCCACTGGAGGCAGCCAGGGACAGATTGATTTCTAGAATGCTTTGCTCCCGAGTCCCAGAGATACGGCTCATCCTTTCTGTCCTGCTCTACCCCTTACCAAGGCTCGGCTTCTCTAGAATGAATCGAAGCCTCAAAACAAAACCTTGTCCCCATTAGAGTGCCGTGTTCCTTCCCTTTCCCTTGGAGGCTGTGAAACTTTGCTGGGACCTCTTGCTCCCTTCATTGCCAGACATTTCGAAGCTGGTGCCTGGCCAGCGGTGGCAGGCAGTGAAGGGGGCAGGCCCTGCAGCAGGCAGCGTGATCCTGGCTGACAGGTCTGAGGTGGGACTTTACGAAAGCTCGGGCTGCCAATTCAGTGGAGGAGGCAGATGGTGGCCCTTCGGAAGCCAACCTGGGGCAGCTGCAGCCCTTTGATCTGCAGGACCGGGTCGGCCTCTCCACCGGGTGAGATGAAGTTTCTTAGGTCCTCGCAGGAGTACGCCTTGACCCCAGCTCCTGCCCAGCCCAGGGCCCAGCCAACCCGAGTGTCACCAACCCGGTTCTTCCACCTCCTGCTTACCCCTTGCCGTCACCCAGGCAGTGGAGAGACATTTTCTTACCAGCTCTGAGGCCATGCCCTGCTAAGGCTTCCTCCCCAGCCTGCTTGTTCCTCACAGACCCCGGGGCGACTGGCAGGAGGCAGATTCAGACTGTGGCTGTGGTGACCATAGGACGCCACCGGCTTTGTGTGGAGCTATAGCAGCCCACAAACTGTTAAGAGTTATTCATGGATGGAAAAAGATACTTCTTGGTTCCTCTAGGAGATGGTATCTCTGAACCCTAAGGACCAGGAGACCAGAGGGGCACCCAGAAGGAGGCAGAGGAGCAGTTCATCAAAAGACATGGATTTGGGGAGGGAGGCAGGTGCTAGATCCTGTTATGGGGACAGAGCATGTTGGGGTCTGTAGGGAAGATTCTAGGCGTCTTCTTGAACCAGACTAGAACTAAAGTAGTTAAGAACAAAGACTCAGTCTCTAGGCTTTAGGGCCTCCCACTCCAGAGCATCCTCCAGTCCCTCAAGGGAAGGGAAAAACAGAGGTAGGAGACATGGTGATGTGACCGGTGGGGGGCATCCTGGACGGCACAGCCCGTGGCCCTCCCAGTCCCCTCGCTGAGTGATGGGAATGCGGCAGCCAGTGTGGGAGCCCTCTCAGCCCAGGGAGTCCTCACCCAGCCAGCCAGATGGTCCAGCCGCTGCAAGGACAGGGAACGTTTGTGCTGGTTGTATAGAAGCAGCACAAAGCCGGGAGAGACACTGAAGACTTCTCTCCCTCCCTCCTGGGTCTTGGTGTCCCCAGGGGAGGTCCAGGTTACAGTCACCCTTACCCCACCTTGGTGGTCATGACTGTACCAGGTGATCTATGCGAGACAGGAATGTCCTCATAAACAGTCTTAGCAGAAAAGACAGGACCAACAACTTTGTGTTTAACAGCTGGCTCATCTTTTACGTAAGATGCTTACCAAAAAGGGGAGCTTTCGATTTTACTTACGCTGTGTTTTGCACAAATTGAAAGGAAGTAGAAGCTGCCTTGGCTTGCTACACGCAGGGAGATGGGAAGCCTGTGCTCACACTCTGGAAACCAAGAGAGATGGCACATTGCGTGTCACCTGAAAGACAGCTAGGGAGGACACCCTCAGAATGCAGGGCATTCCTCTTGGCCTTGGAGTGGAAGGGCAGACAGGGACGGGGAGTGCAGCAACAGGCTGGGGGTAGCAGAATAGAGGCTTCCATCCAGCCCAGGGGCCAAGGGAGTGCTTAACCTTCCTATCTTATTTTCATTGTCTTCAAGGAGAGAGGGCAGAGCAGCCAGGTAAGGTGGAAGCTGGTGGAAGGCTGTTATGTTCTTTCTTTAAAAAAAACTATAAGCTGGGCATGGTGGCTCACACCTATAATCCTAGCAACTTGAAAGGCTGAGGTGGGAGGATCTCTTGAGCCTAGGAGTTCAAGACCAGCCTGAACAATATAGTAAGTCCTTATCTCAAAAAAATAAATAAGTAAATATTTTAAAATTATAAAAGTAGGCTGGGCACAGTGGCACACACCTGTCGTCCTAGCTACTCAGGAGGCTGAGGTGGATCACTTGAGCCCAAGAGTTCAACATTTGAATTCAGTCCAGCCTGGGCAATATGGTAAGACCCTGTCTCTTAGAAAAAAATTATAAAAGTAATAAACACTTTTGAGTGAGTTATTAAAGAAACCCAAATAGGCTGGGCACGGTGGCTCATGCCTGTAATCCTAGCACTTTGGGAGGCCAAAGTGGGAAGATCACTTGAGGCCAGGAGTGTAGGACCAGCCTGAGCAAGAGGGGGAGACCCTATCTCTACAAAAAATATAAAAATTAGCCAGGCGTAGTGGCACACACCTGTGGCCCCAGCTACTCTGGGGGCTGAGGCAGGAGGATTGCCTGAGCCCAGGAATTGGCGATTGCAGTGAGCTATGATGATGCCACCGCATTCTAGCCAGGGTGACAGAGAAAGACCTTGTCTCAAAAAAAACAAAACCCAAAAACAAACCCAAACAGAAATACATACGGTAGAAAAAAGTTAACCTTCCCATCCCATTTCCTTAGAGTAACCAATTGTTAACAATTTTAATATTATTCTAGATTTTTTCTATTTATATACAAAAGTATGTTTTTGTTTCTTCCTTTTTTCCTGTTTTCTGTGCTGTAAGGGTAAGTACTAAAAGATATATATTAAAAGAAGTGGGACAACTAACATCACTTTTTTTTTTTCATAGAATAGCTATTTTTTTTTTTTTTACCAGCACATGTAAATCTACGTTATTCATTCTGATGGCCGCATGGTATTCCATTATATGAATGTGCCAGAGTATGTTAAACTGTTCTTTTTTTTTTTTTTTTTTTTTTGAGACAGTCTCACTCTGTCGCCCTAGCCAGAGCACAGTGGCACAATCTAGCTCACAGCAACCTCAAACTCCTGGGCTCAAGCGATCCTCCTGCCTCAGCCTCCTGTGTACATGGGACTAAAGGCGCTCACCAACCCACCCAGCCTCTATTGTTTAATTGATACTTTTACATTTTTTTTTTTTAATTTTTAGAGACAGGCTCTTGCTGTGTCATCCAGGCTGGAGTACAGTGTGCATTTATAGCTCACTCAAACTCCTGGCTTCAAGTGATCCTCTCCTCCCACCTTGGCCTCCCAGAATGCTGGGTTTATGGGCATGAGCCACCGTGCCTGGCCTTGGTTCTACTTTTTACTATTATAAATAATACTGCACTGAATATCCTTGTACACATGTCTTTGCACACCTGTGCAATTATTTTTATAGGATTTCTAGAAGTGGAATTGCTGGGTCAGAGTATACGCTCATTTAAATTTTTGATGGATAGCACCAAATTGTCCTCTAAAAATCTTGTACCAGTTTCCATGGCAGTTGATTCTCATGTCACCCTCTCCTCCCTGCAGGATGAATCAGGCGCCAACTGTGGGCTTTGAGCAGGATGTTGGCAGCCGAACCACCCACCATTTCATGTACCCCGAGAGTGCCAAGAACCTGCCCGCCAACGTCAGCTTTGTGCTGGTGCCCTTCAAGGCTCTGGACTTGCTGTGGATCGCCAGCGCCCTGTCCACGGGGCAGATCCGATTGTGAGCCTCTTTGTTGCTGGAAGTGAATATGGGTGACAGGATCACCTTGGGAGGGGGCTTCCCGGGGACTGGATTGTACAATTCCTTTAATTGAACATTTTGACCAAGGAGGGCTGGTGAGGAGGGAGGGCTTCCAGTGGGGAGTTGGCCGAGGGTGTACCTTGTTCCATGTCACTTCCCGCGCGTTGCCATCCAGCATACCAACGGTGGAAAAGTGAGGAAAAGACCATCTGGTTTGGGTCTCATTTCTGGGATCTGGCTCCTGACTGAGGGAACTCTGCCTTCTGAGAACTTTCTTGGGGGTCAGTGGTCCCATCACAGCCCGGAACTACGGGAAATCCAATTCACCAAGTCTTTTTTTAAACAGCTTTATCAAGATGTAATTCACATACCATACAACTCACCCACTTAAGTTGTACAATCCACTGACTTTCAGTATATTCATAGAGCTGTGTAGCCACGACCACAGTTGGGTTTAGAACATTTTCATGTTCTAAAGATCTTTAAAATTCTACAGATACCCCGTACCCATTAGCCATCACTGCACCCCGAGCTTGGGCAACTGCTAATCTACTCTCTGTCTTACCATGTATTTTTGTTGTGTAGTAAAATGTACATAATACAGAATTTATCATTTTGACCATTTTGAAGTGTACAGCTCAGTAACATTAAGTATATTCACATTGTTATACGACTGTCACCACTATCTCCAGGACTTTTTATCACCCCCCACATGGGAACTCTGCACACATTAACCACTAACTCCCCTTTCTTCCCTCCCCCTAACCGCTGGTGACCTTATTCTACTTTCTGTCTCTACAGTTTGACTATTCTAGGTGCCTCGTATAAGTGGGGTCATTTCATATTTATCCTTTTATAGCTGGCTTATTTCACTTAACATAATGTCTGAAGGTTCATCCATGTCATAGCTTGTGTCAGAACTTCCTGGGTTTTGTTTAAGGCTGAATAGTATTCCATTGTGTGTATATATCACATTTTGCTTATCCATTTATACACCAGTGGACATTTAGGTTGTTTCTACCTTTCGGTTATTGTCACTGAGTATTTTTTAAACACAAAAGTATAAGTTACAGTTTGCTGACTTTAGGATGTTCGTTATCTTGTGCCTGGGAGAGCTGAGCTCTAGAGCTGAAGTCCCATAGCTACCCAGAGAAGGGTGCTGGTTACAGGAGCCATGGCTGGCTGATAGTGGAGTTGATGCCAAGCCTGAGGGGAGAGGAGGGTACAGGCAAGAACACGGATGTGGGTTTAGATGCTCAGCCAACTCACGTGGGGAGCTCACAGCAGATAGGTGGGGAAAAACGTTTGCAGCTGGATTATGGAAGGCCCCAGTGCTTGTCTAAAACATCCCTATTTTATCCTAAATGACGTGGGGAGCCAGTGAAGGCTTCTGAGCAAGGGCCTGTAGTGGTGCACGTGCAGTGGGAGAACAGCCTAGAAGCAGATCGGTCTGGAAGCTGTGAGGCCTGAGGGGGAGGAGAGGCACTTGTGGTCCCATGGGGCCATCTGAAACGTTACCTTTCTGTCTGCTTACAGCACCTATGCCCCAGTGAAGTCTTTCCTTCGAGTGGACAAAGAAAAGGTAAGATCCCCACATCAGTGGAAACAGTGTTTGCCTGACCTGTATGCCTGGTCCTGTGGTTCAGGTGTGCCCCAGTTCCTTCCCAGAACCTTCAGAGTCCCCATCTGCTGGGATGCCTGACCCCAGCAGTGGCCATAGGAACCAGGGAACTCGGATGCACAGGTCCGCTGGCAGGCACGGAGGAACTGGCAGAAGCTGCTCAGAGGCTGCACCTGAATCTCTGGGCTGCCAAACCCTCATGTACCTGTTCCCTCTCCCCCTCCCAGGTCCAGATCTACAACCCAGCCTTCTTCAAGTACATCCACGACAGGTGGACAGAGCATCACGGGCGGTACCCTTCCACAGGGATGCTGGTGCTCTTCTTTGCCCTGCATGTGTGCGACGAGGTGGGTAGGCCCCATCCTGGAGTGGGGGGAGTAGGGGGCCCCATGAAACAGGGAATGCAGCCCTTCTCCGGTCTTAGCAGCGCCTCCAGAGGAATGTGTTTTTGTAGGCAGAAACCATGTGGCTTTGATTGCCCCCCATCTCTAGGCTGTGAAGTATAGATCTTCATTTCCCAAACTGTATTATTTTCATGATTTTACCAAATCTGAAATCACTTCACTAAAAAGTTAAATTACTGGCCAGGCATGGGGCTCATGCCTGTAATCCTAGCAATCTGGGAAGCCGTGGCAGGAGAATCACTTGAGCCCACAAGTTCAAGGTTGCAGTGAGCCGTAATGATGCCGCTGCACTCTATTTGGAGTAAGACTCTGTCTCAAAAAAAAAAAAAAAAAATTTAAAAAGGAAGTAGAGTATTACTATCATAAATGATATTACTTGTCAGAAAGAAAGGTAAGCATAACCATCGACCGGAAAGAGTGGTTACATTGCAGCTGGATGGCTGTCCCCCACAGCGCCGAGCCCCAGGCTTAAGTACTCTCTGTGTTAAAAATGGAGGTTGGTCATTCAAAGAAGCCCATTTTACTAGTGGCCAGGCAGTGCTCACACCCAGCCACTTTTGCCAGTAAGTTCTTCACTGCACAGGACTGGGTACTCGACCAGCTTTCAGATAAAAGTACTCCATTTCAAAAGAAAAAAGTCAAAAAGGGCTGGAAAGGAAGGAGAACTGGTCTTCCCTGTGAGTCTGTCCTTGCTCCAGGCCTGGGTGTCCCCTGCGTCTCCCCGCTGCCTCCCGCACTCGGGGAGTTGATGAGCTAGTCAGCCTCGCAGGCCGTTGTCTTGTCGCTGTGGCCCCTTCTCCTCCCCCCACGACCCGAGGCCCTCCCGCGCCCCGTCCCGCACGGGTCCCGCAGTGGGCTGACGCTGCGCCGCCCTTCCCTCAGGTGAACGTGTACGGGTTCGGGGCCGACAGCCGGGGCAACTGGCACCACTACTGGGAGAATAACCGGTATGCGGGCGAGTTCCGGAAGACGGGCGTGCACGACGCGGACTTCGAGGCACACATCATCGACATGCTGGCCAAGGCCAGCAAGATCGAGGTCTACCGAGGCAACTGAGCCTGGCCTCGCCGCGACCCTCCCCGCCCAGGCGCGAGGCTCGGGCGCGCGTTCCCGCCCGGGACTCCAGACCAGCCCAAGGACGGTGGCGTCGGCGTGTGCGCTGCGCCCCGCCCCGGGCATCACCAGGCAATCGAGCAACTCCAGAGTGCGATCTGGACCAATCATGCTGCAGTCCAGCGAGCGCCTGCTGTCCCCCGCCAATCACGAGATTCTGGGGGCTGTTTCGGGCCCGACAACCAATCAGCGCTGCAGTCGGGCGAAGCTCGTTTTTTCAGCCAATCATGCGACTCGAGGAGAACTTCCGGCGCTGGGCCGTCTCCTCCAATCAAGGCCTCGCGGGGCGGGCCGGCAGCTGCGCAATGCCTATTCCCTTGTGCTTTTGGATGAGATTTTTATTTCACGCTTACTGTGGAGCGGAGGATGTTTCGGGCTTCGATGAAGTGCTTCTCTGTCTTGACAGCGGGGAGCGTCCCCGTTGCTGGCTTGCCTGACTCCGCTTTGGCGCTGCGGAGGACCCCGGGAAGGCGCGGGTCGGGCGGCCTGGCCCTGTCCCGCCCCCGGGAGCGTCGTCCCTCGGGGCCTCGGCGGGGCTTGTGGGGGTCGAGGAGTGGCCTGGGGAGTTTCCATGGGGCGCGCCTTCTCCCCAGGAGGAAAACTAGCGGCCTCCGCAATCTCTCAGGCCTCTGAGAGCATTGTAGATTCCACATTTCCCTTGTCCGTCAGGCCCAGATGGGTGAGTGCAAACCCACCAAAGAAATGCAGTCGCGGTGACGCCCGCGGGCCCCTCCCCTCCCCGCCCCGGCCACCCTATGGAATGGCCTCTGACCAGGGCATTTCGTGTCTCACGGGAAAACTAGGGAGTTGAATTCCCCCCTTGCTGGGGGTGGAATTTGCCTAGGGCCCAACCCCTGAACATAGGTGTAAGAAACAGGGCAGGGGACAAGGAAGCTCTGTCACATCCAATGTAAGGTGCTTCTCACTCACGTGTGCCCTCGGCCCCTTCTGTTCACTCACAACCTTTTTAGTGTCTCTCCTTAGGCCCTGGGCCTCCTCACCAGCCTCCTCGTTGCTCTGGGAAAAAAATCAGAGAACTTGCCCTGGGATCGGGGCCTGCTGCTGCTCGCGCGCGCTTTCTCTCCCTCACACAGGCACACACACCTTTGGCTTTAGGGAGGGAGAGCAACACTATGGAAAGAAGGCTGGAGGTGGGGAGCCCAGCTGCTCGCTGCATGTCCCTTCCTCCACTCGTCACCCCCAAGAGTGATGCTTGCTTCGGGGTGACTTTGCTTTGGGCTCCTAATTTAGTTAATGTGAAGCTACCAGGTATGGCTGACCAACAAAGGTTCTTTTAAAATTCTGAGCTGGCCGTGCAAGTAGCCAGGAGCCTCGCAGGGAGGAGTAGACTTGCCCGCTGCATGCCTCCTGCCGCGTGCCCCCCTGCTCACCTCCTGCCTCCTCCCTCGACCCACCTTCCGTTTCCGCTCAGGAGGGGCTGGGAAGCTGACCACCAGGGGTTCCAGCTGGAAGCTGCTGGCGCTACTGAACCCAGCTTAGTTCCCCAGAGGGAGCTGATGGTCGTCTCACCCTTCGAGGCTGGGCAAGTTTAGGAGGGGGAAAGGGCTTCTGTGAAGCTCCCAAGCCACTAAAAGGATCCAGTTCCCACCAGTGATGACACATTTCCCCCCCCTTTTCTCAGATGACACCACCAAGCAGCCTCTTGGCCATTGGTATGGTTCCTGCAGCTGGCTGGGGGAACAGTGACCAGCAGGGGAGTTTGTTAGGGGAGGGTTGGGATGGGCAGTGGGCACCCAGAAGAATTAATATATTGAGAGCTTAGCTTGAGTCTGTTCCTTCCCGGTTCCAAACATAGGAGGAGTAAAGAATGGGGGTGGACGGGGGATTTAGTAGACTGCCTCTCAGGGCTCCCCGCTCTGTCCTAGAGGGTCAAGGCACCAGCCATTCTTGCCAGTCTCATTTCAGTGCTTCCTGAAGAGGCTGTTTTGAGTGCTTTGAAGATGAAAAACAATGCAATTATGCCAAACAGTATTGAGCAGAATAATTTATTTCTTTGTTTCTTTTTCTTTTTTTGTTAATGTTTAAACCATTAATCCCTGTTCTGGAAGAGGTAGGTCCCAGCATCCAGCCCAGATTTCCTTTTATGCAATAGTTAAAAGTTTTTTATTTCCTTCCCTTTCTCTCTTTCTGAATTAAAAGAACAACAAAACTATATAGTCTTTCGTTTGTTCTGAAACGTGCATGATCATGGGAAGAAAGCAGATCTGAGAATGGGGACCTGTGAACGGTAATGGCTGAGGATGTTGGGGGGGATGTGGGAGGCAAGATGATGCCCAGACACCCTGTCTTTTGAGTGACCGAAGTCCCCAAGACACGTCTGAGGGACTGTGAACATTTTGGTTATAAATAAATTCGTTTTCCCTCTTCAGTTTTCTCCAAAAAAGGAATACACTGGAAAGAATTCCTGGCAGCAACTTCCTGCAGGGGCTGTCCTGTAACCACTCTGGTCTCTGACTCTTAAGGCTTCTGCCAAGAAGTTCATGTTTCCTTGATGCCAAACAAGTCCCATGGCCATGCCTCAAGTCTAGCAGGGACGTGTCATCCTCATCTGGGACAGGTGCCATATTTGGGTGAGCAATATAGGATTTATGGCCTGGGGTAGGATGGGTGGATGCCAGGGGGAGGGAAGGAAGCAATTAAATATTTTCCCCATCACAGGAACAGCTGCAGGCAAGGACTACCTTCTGTGACGTGTTTGGCAAGGTAAGAAAGCATCATTCCTTGCCAGGCAAGGTAAAGGTAAAATCCTAAACCTGTATCTTAAAAAGTCAAATTATTGGTCAGGGGTGGTTGGCTTGTGCCAGTGCGTAAGTTGTGATTTTTTTTTGGAAGGGTAGTGAGGAGCACTGATTTCTAACTCACTTGGAAAAGAATAAGTTGATTATTCGTTTTATTTTTAAAAAGTTTTAGTAGAGACAGGGTCTCACTATTTTGGTCAGGCTGGTCTTGAACTCGTGGCCTCAACTGATTCTCCTGCCTTGGCCTCCCAAAGTGCTGGGATTACTGGCGTGAGCCACTGTGCCTGGCCAAGTTTTTTTATTTCAATAATTACGTTTCTCATTTATAATCTTATGTGTGCCCAGTGGCATGCTGGTAAATTGTCTCTGATAAACACAACCCCTTGATTTGTAGCATCTGCTGATTTCTGTGGTGTAAAATACTCCTGGCATGCCCAATTTCAAG